TTGGGAAGGTGAGCATCATGGAATGCCAGTTTAATAGAAGAAAGTATCCTTGCATTGAGGGAGTACTTGAGTGGAGGCCCAATGTCCATCTGCTACCTTAATACTAAATCTATACTTATATGCACATAGTTCTATTTCCACCTCCTCATATATATATATTTACATATGTACATACCTGTATTTAGACCTCTATAAATGCCCTTTACCTCCTAGCTCTTTCCTCTATTTCCTTTGACTTTCCTCTTGTCACACGATCATGTTCAGTCTTCATAGGGTTTCAGTAATTCCACTTGGGCACATTACCCTTGGTCATGCCCTACCAGGCCTCCTACACTCTCCTCACCACCGATTCAGATCACTTGTTGTTCCCTTGTCCCTGGGCTTGTTCAGCCTTCATTTGGGTTTCAGTAATTCCTCTCGGTTACATTACCCTTGATCGCGCCCTACCAGGCCTCCTAAACCCTCCTCACCACTGATTCAGATCACTTGTTGTTCCCTTGTCCCTGGGTTTGTTAACACCACTACCTTTCCCCCCACCTCCCCTTCTCCTGTGTCCCCCTGGAACTGTTGGTCCCGTTTTTTCCTCCTCTAGATTGTACATCCAGCCTATCTTATTTAGACAGACCTGCAGAGATAATAACATGCACAAAAACAAGACAGAGCAAAACCAAGCAACAAAAGAAAATAAAGCAACAACAATAAGCCAATGACAAAAAAACAAAACACAGCACAACAAGAAAGAAAAGCTTGTAGTTAGTTCAAGGACTGTTTGTTGGCCTTTAGAAGTGTTTTCCAGTCGAGTCTTTTGGGGTGCCAAGCCCTTGCCCCAAGTCTATTTTTGGTATTCCCTGGGGACTTTGTTGCTCTGTTTCCCTTGTTGTTCTGTTCCACACTCTTAGTATTTTGCCTCGGTGTGGTGGGATCAGATGGGGGCAATTCCCACACTGTGTCTCCAGTGTTGTTCCCTGTAGGGCTATGGGGCAGTGAGGGATGTCGTGTCTCATAGTGGAGCTGGCTATGTGGTCTTCTCTGTGGATTGGCTGCTCTGCATGGGAATATTGTCGTCAAGGCTTGGTGGGCCAGGATGTGCTCCACTCTTCTCTTCCTCCTCCTTCATTTGCTCCCGTGTGCTCTGATCAGACGTATCCCTCTCCCGGAGCTACAGATTCAGTGCTGTCCTCTGAAATAAATTCTTTTGGGGAGAGGGGCAGGTTTCCACGTAGTTGGAATTGGGGCCAGCCCCTCAACCCTCTCCACTGGTTCCCTACACCTTGCCACATGTTGAGTTCACATCTTAGAGCACAAGGTTGAAGTCTGCTCCCTCTTTCCCTGTGGAGATATAAGCAATACCCTCCCATAGCAGAGTATTGTAGATTTTAGTAAGAAGACCTTTGTCTGATGTGTCATTACTAAAGATGTTTTCCGACTCCATGGCATCTCTTATTACTCTCTTAGTGAATTCTTTCAATGTACACAGCTGTTTTATCTTCTGTATATCCCATTTGTCAATTTGTGCCTCCTCTGTGTTTGTGTTCTTCCCTATTTCTGATAGTCTATGTGTTCCCTGTGCCAAAGTTCTGAAGTTGATCCCAATTCCCTCATTGATGGCCCTAATAGTTTGGGCTTTAATGTCAAGTTCTGTGATCCACCTTGAGTTTATTCTTGTGCATGGAGTGAGATAAGGGTCTTGCTTAATTTTTCTGCAGGTAGATATCCATTTTTCCAGCACCACTTGTTAAAGAGGGCATCTGGTTCCCATTGGATATATTTTGGACCCTTATCAAGGATCAGTTGTCTATATGCTCATGATTTATTTCTGGGTTTTCAGTTCTATTCCATTGGTGTGAGTATCTGTCACTGTACCAATACCATGGGGTTTTGACAATTGTGGCTCTATAATATGTGCTAAAGTCAGGTAAAGCAAACCCTCGCACCTTGTCCTTCTTCTTGAGGAGTTCTCTGCTAATTCTGGGCTTCTTCCCTTTCCATATGAAGTTGGTAATCAGTTTTTCCATTTCTTTGAAGAAAGATGAGAGTAATTGTATGGGGATTGCATTAATCTTATATAGTGCCTTAGGCAGAAGTGACATCTTTACTATATTGAGTCTTCCAGTCCACGAGCATGGGGTATTCTTCCATTTGTTGATGTTGCTCTTGGTTTCTTGTAATAGTGTTCTGTAGTTTTTCTCATATAGATATTTTGTTCTTTTAGTCAGGTATATCCGTAGATATTTCAATTTATGCTTGGCTATTGTGAAGGGTACTACATTTTATCACCTCTTCTGTGGTCTTTTCCATGTACAGCAGTCCAATAGACTTCTCGTCATTGATCTTGTATCCTGCCACTCTGCCATATTCCTTCATCACTTCCAGTACTTCCCTTGTGGAGCTTTTGAGATTTTCCATATATAAAGTCATATCACATGAGAATGACGATAGTTTCACCTCTTCCTCCCCCAAGACACCTTTGATGTCTTTTCTTTTGCCTTATGCTTTTAGCTAGGACCTCTAGTACAATATTAAATCAGACTGGGGACAAGGGACATCCTTGCCAGGTCCCCTTTTTCAGTGGGATTATGTTAATCTTTTCTCTATGTACTACCACGTTGGCTCTTGGTTTTTCATATATAGCTTGTATCATATTGAGGACTTTTTCTTCCATTCCTGTCTTCTTGAGTGTCTTTAACAGGAATTGGTGTTGGATGTTGTCGAATAATTTTCCACATCCATCAATATTACCGTATGGCTCTTATAATTTTCCATATCAATGTGGTGAATAATACGAATAGGCTTTTGTATGGTGAACCATCCCTGCATCCCTAGTATGAATCCCACTTGGTCATGGTGAATTATTTGTTTTATGAACTTTTGTATTCTATTAGCCAGTTTTGTTAAGGATTTTTGCATAAGTGTTCTTTAGGGATATTGGTCTGCAGTTCTCGAGTCTTGTGGGGTCCTTTCCCGATTTTAATATCAGAATTATACTAGCTTCATAGAAGGAGTTCGGAAGTTTGCCATCTTTTTCTATGTTCTGGAAGAGTTTGTGTAGGATTGGTGTTAGTTCTTCCCTAAATGCTTGGTAGAATTCTCCAGTGAAGCCATCTTGCCCAGGGGATTTTTTTTGTTGGTAATCCCTTGATATGTTTGTCTATTTCTTCTGTTGCTATGGTTCTGTTGAGATTCTTGACGTCCTTTGGGGATAGTCTAGGGAGGGATTGTTTTTCCCAGAATTTTTCCATGTCATCCAAGTTGTTGAATTCATTGGAGTACAATCCTTTGTAGTACTGTGAAATTATCCTTTTGATTTCATTAGGGTCTGTTGTAATGTCCCCTCTTTCATCCCTCATTCTTGCAATTGAAGTT